AATGGAAGTCGGTGAATTAGATCCGTAACTTTGGGAAAAAACTGGCTCCAGTCCGGTCGGTTAGATTGTTAAATGATGCTTGTGCGATTTCGCTTGTGGCTGGCAGACGCTCATGCTGAAGCTGGAATAATAACTGCCTTGTGGACGTTTTCAGGTGTGCTTTGTCTTCTGGCTTGGTATCCTCACCGACCATCAAAACGGTTGAAATGGAACTGGTACGGACTCAGGGAATAAGACTGGTTGAAACAGAGAAGACAGATGGTCCTTGCAGCGTTTACTCTGTTTTCTGCTCAGTGGAACGTTAAATCGTAGTACTAATTCAGGTAAGCGCGGGTAAACGATGGGAGTAACCATGACTCTCTTAAGGTAACCAAGCCACTCAGCTAACTACTGACGCGTTACACTGTTTCAACCTCCCCGTAGTGTGACCACGCAACAACCGAACGCGTTGGCGCTCGACGGCTATCGATAACAAGTAGAATACACTCTAGGCCAGGTCCTGGCATCCCAAAGGGACTAACTTCGACGGGGAAAGGCTGGTGGGAGAAACATTTGGCTTGCTCGAGAGCTGCACAAACTTTCGTTGGAGGTTTCCCGTGATAAGGACTTGAACGGACGGATCCGCTGGTTGAATCTTGCGTCACCTTGAGAAAGCCAACGTGATCCTGAAGATCCGCAGTGGACAGTAGCTGCTCTCAAGGCAGCTTATGCGAGACTGCGAAAAACATCTACGGTTGTTATTGTTGGAAGTAAGGAAGATTCGAACAGGCCAGGGAAACTCGGAGCTCGGATCTTCCGCAGAATTGAAAATGATCGGCAGGCAAAGGGAAATCTGAGCCGCGACGCTTTCAAAGTAGTAAGGGGAGAATCTGGACAGCGAAGGAAAGCCGATCCTCGGATCTTCAAAGATGGTGGCTCTTGGAGAGGCCAGGGATAACCCGAACTCGAACCTACGGTTACTGCTCCTTTCTGTGGGCCTAGTCTGAGAGGCCATGCCCCTAGAATTGCGATGTACTTGAAAGTGACTTGTACGTTCCGTGACAGAGTACTTATTAGGGGACCTGGGTCTGAAATTCTCAAGATTCTTCTTGAGATTGGCAATGATTGAATTCCGCGAGATGAATGCCGGAGCCGTTTCGCAGGACCAACGCTACATTACCAGCCTAATAATCTATTGTATGCAGTCGTGCGTGCGATAGCAGCCACTACCGATAGTTTGGTGCAGAACCGTAATGGTAACGGAAGCTTGAAGTCGACTCTCTTAGAAGATATAGATCGGCGAAAGGCCTCATCAGCTCGATCTCAATCATCTCAAGCGAATTAGACAGAAGAAAAGTGCGGAAGCTTGAGAGAGAATGCGAGTAAGCCGTAAGTACCCCGAAATGTTTGGAACGCTGGGTGATTGCAGTGGTAGTAGTATAGCCTACAGAGGTACTTGAGGCAACCCAGACCAGCTAAACACTACGCAACAGAAGATCATGCGTCTCGAGGAGACCCTACGCTATTAGAAACTTTACAAAAAGGGGGCGTGGCAGGCAATAGCTATGCCCTTGAAAAACTTTTTTACAAGGCTTGTAATGTGCAAGTGACTGCATCTTGTACGTGACATTTTTCACAGAATTTGAAAAAAATTCACATCAGCTTGTAAGAAATTTTTTTTCGAAGGCGACGTAAAATTTTTGGGAAGCATCCCAAAACCATTTCGGAGTACGTGGCTAATGCCACACACCTATCCGAAAAAGTTTTGTCGCGCCCCAGATGACGGAAATCCTGGGATCACCACTGGTTTCTATGTAGTAATTTTTCTCTCTATCTCATTCTTTCCAATCTCCTTGCTATTTTTTGAGTCAGGCGATGAGTTTTGTATCCAGTTATTTTTGTTTATGAATAAAACTTTCTACCTACTATCTACGTGATGATATTTTATCCATTTTTGTTGCCTACTTCCGCGAGCCGTGATACCGCAACCGTGGATAAAGCGACCGTAATTTTTTTGACGCGAATCGTCTAGACTGAGATTCTGCAAGCCGTGCATTTTGCGAGACATTTCCTGCCGTGATATTCCGGAGCCGTGATTCCGCGAACCATGAACAATTCTTGCGTTTTTTGCTATGCTTAATTTCAACCTGTATTTTCCTTTTTCTTCCTTTGACATTTCTAGGTTTTTTGCTAAAGCGCACCTACCTAATCAAGGACTTTGCCACTGCCGGCGTTGTTCATAT